CTAAAACTTAGAACTGCAAAATAAATAGATTTAATAAAAAATAAAAACAAGTGTAAATCCAGTGATAACACTAAAAGTATCGGAGTGACGGCAGGAACTAAAACAAGGTCCTTTTTTCGTCCCACAATGGGGAAATTTCAGTTTGATGCGAACACATCAAGGCAAGCAGCGGACATTACTTCTGTGCTCCTTATAGGCAAAGTGGGTTGGGGTCTTGCCCAAGGACACAACAACAGCAGACATCAGTGAGAGTTGATGGACAAGGTCTCGCAGTGGGCTCGAACTCACGACCTTCGGGCTCAAAGGCCAATGCTCTACCAACTGAGCTACTGTCGCAGACGTGGAATGACAAAGACGGAACAGGAAGTGAAGGGACACACAGGGTTTAAATATAACACTAACGAGACACAGGTGAGACACATGAGGGCGGGTCTGGTCATCAGGAAACAGGAAGTACAACTAAAGACAACACAGGGGTCAACAGATTTAAACATAAAACAGGAAATAAAGTAATTATTTTATTTTATTTTATGACAATAGTTTGGAGTTTGTGTGCTGCAAATAATGTTAATTCATAAGATAAATTCCCTCATTTTAAACATGTTTGGAATAATGTAATGAAACTCAAGATGAAAGAAAAAAAAACTGTTAAAAAAATGGAGAGGACGCTTTTTGTGGTTCTTTTGAAAGACAAGTTAGATGTATGACCTTGTTATAGGACGGCTGCTGGAGAGACTTGGGATGTCCTCTTTTAGGAGAATATTTGAGCTTTACCCCATTCACAAGACATGTTTGTGTATAAAGTACTGCAGCAACAGCATTATTTCTATCAATATTTTGTTTTCCTTCAGCCAGTCATTATATGCAAAATGTTGGCATAAACTGTTCCAAAACCAAAAGTGCAAAACCCTAATAATGGCCATGTCTACTCGCCAGAAGCGACACTGAAACCCCATTGGCCTATTGCTGAAAAGACAGTTGTTTTGGGACACAGTGACACTTGGAACCTGATTTGGACACAGGCTCATGTCAGTGAAGTGCAGTCGAGATGGAAATTATGCATCTGACAAGTGACAACACAACACTTGCTGTAAATAATGCTTGGGACATGTTGACTCATACACACGACAGCCGGTATGTCTAATTTGCTCTGACCGAACCCAGAACTAAAAAAAAAAATCTTGTAGCTTGAATGTTACTGATATTATTGTCCACCTACTAGTTTTCCCTTATAAACAGACACAAACAACCAAAAAATAGACATTGGACGGAAAGTTTTTTCTGTGTACACAGCAGAGTTCATACATATGGCAAGTCAAAGTGCTTAACACAACATGATAGACATAATATAAACAATCATATAGGTTATTGGAATCATAGTTAATCACAAATGTTTTTAGCCCGAATTTGAACATAGTCACAGTAGATACCTACCTACAGTAGTAGTCTATTCTCTGAGCAGCAGGAAGACAGTGCATAGACCTGAAGACTGGACTAATGTGATCATACTTCCTGGTTACTCAGGACTCAACCTCCAGCAGATTTATAGTTTGTTTGGAGAGACTAGTGAGCAGGCCGTTACAGTAGTGTAACCGACTACAGACATATACAGTACATGGATAAGTTTCCCCAAGTCGGCTCTAGACACTATAATTTTGATCATGGTAAATACAAATCCATATTTATTAGTGATCGTAAAAAAAACCCTGTAAAAATGAACGAGCTTTTAGCAGCTCAGTGGCCAGATCAATCCTGAAATACGTACTGGTCATTTCCAATCATGCGTTCCCTTTGTCTACACATGCACAGCTGATCATGGCGAAGACTCACAGAAAGAGACTGAAATATAACTAGAGTTTTGGGAAAGACAGGACTTCACCCACAGTCCTCCTAAATACATTGAAAGTGTAAAATGTTGTGTGCCCTTCCGACTATTTATATTCAGGGCCTTGACCCGCAGAAGGCTGGCATACATAATCTATGACATTGTCCTCCACACAGAAGCTTCTTAGCTGCTTCCTGGGAATAGATTTAGTCTCCCTTTTCCAGCAGTGGTTCCTCGCTCACAGACAAGGACACCAGTGTTCTGCAGCCTGTCTATACCGCTGCCTTTGACTCTGCTCATCCCTCTCTCCTGTCTCTTTTACAGATTTATGAGACTTGATTGACTGTATTGACTGATATTTGATGGTTTTATTCAAAAGCATACGTCCATAAATGCATCTCACTGCTTTCCATAGTGACCTAGTAACTTGGTAGTCCTATGTAGTATCAGTGTTAGTGAGTTTCGAGGCTCCACCTTTTGTCTGTTTAACTTCACATTACTGAAAAAGAAAAACCTGTGCGTAAAAGGTTGTAAGTTATAGCAAAAGCCTTGAGCCAATTCCAGAGTATTTATCACAGCATTGATAACATGGCAACCCATTTAAATAATACATTAAGAGTTATTTTGCGAAAACAAATATCTCTGCCTTGAAAATTAGTAAAAAACGTTGTGTTCATCTCGCAACAATCTTCCATATATTTTTATATTAGCAGTTCATTTTAGAGAATTTGCTCAATAAGAGGGGAGACATTATTTGAATGGCACTAAAATATGTCAAATAAGTTCCAAAACTGCATGGCAAAATGCATCAAAAGCGTAACTTCACACTGGAAGACTATCCAGGTATGCCACCGCACCAGCCTGGCCCCCTCCGTCCTCGGCCTATCACATCAGCTTCGTCAATTCAATTTAATTCAATTTAATTCTCTCTACATGAGTTAAATCTTTTAATTCATCTTGTCTCTTGTAGTCTCTCCAGATTCAAGGGCCACATTGTAAGCCTTTAAAAGATTGTCCTAATGGCGCTTATCTGTTTTTTCAACTTAACTTATTTAAACAGCCATACATTTCTACTGTTACACTGACTCTATATCTTTTTTATTAGTTTACATTTTGTTTTCGATACAGAAAAACAAAAAACAAAACAAAAAACAGTAAGACACGTTTTATTTATTGCTTCCATACAGTTATTATTTTGTGGTTGTTCTGAAATTATTAGCAATTTGTTTGAGAGTGGTTACTCAACTTATCCAGAAGAGGTATTTGTCTCTTCTCTTCATCTCTCATGAGTTTGTATTCCCAGAAATAATATTGTGCCTCTTTTAAAGTTTCAAGGCTCCACATTTAGCACGTTTTACACATTTCTGAACCAAAACCGAGTTCGTAAAAGGTCGTAAAAGCCTTAAGCCAATCCCCAGAGTATTTACAGCACTGATGACATGGCACCTCATTCAAATGACAAATAAAAATACATCTGTGCTGTTACACTAAACCCTTATCTGTAAGTAGAACACTCATCTTATATTTGGTTGTTGTAATCTGTATCTCACCTTGATTTATCTCTTCCTCATTCCCCGCCATTGTCCACACACCTCCCAGTGCTTGTATTCCGTGTTTGTTCTTGTTCTCTCTGTGCCTCACTTATTCTCTTTTGTCCTGTGTCATCCATCACCCCTCCCTTTTCCAATCCATCTCATCATCTGCTCTTTTTTTCTTTCTCTTCTTCCTAATTGCCTCTGCCTTTTTGCAGCATTTATTTTTTCCACTTAAACATGTTTGGCGCACCAAGGTCTACTTGACTGACATCACTTAACCTTTTTTTTTTTTCTTTGGCTGGATTTAGAAAGCTTGTTTTTTCATCTACGAATGTTCGTCTTGATACACAGAAACGGCTGGTCTATTACTGTCACCGTGTTTCTCTTGGTTTTTATCTCATGAGACGAGATGGGAACAAAGATTATAATTTCCAAGTTGCTTAGAAAAACACGTCTGTTTACAAAGCACTAATGAAAGCCAAATCCTCCTCTTAGTCAAATTTCCTTAGATTGAACAATTTGCATGTAACCGATTCTACGGACGTTACCAGCTGAAATAACGTATTGTAGTTGTACATAAACAATAAAAAAGTGTGTAGTTCTCTATCTAAATGTAAATAAAGAACTAACTATTGGATGTATTGAAATGTTTTCCTTAGAACATGCTACAACAGTTAGCCCCATGCTAGTTGGAGATAATCCACGCAATGGACTCATGCAATTTAAATACAAAAAAAAAAAAAAAAAAGATTACAACCAGATACGTAATACACTTTTATTCTCCAATTGTTTATATATTGTTTTAATCACTGTTATAATACAAGTGCCTGAATCCGGTGCTGCGGCAGAACTACAGTAAGTCACGTTTAGCTGTAGCTTCCCAAAATGAGGGAATGATTTTTTAGAGTAGTAGAGATTAGAGTAAGTACACACAGTATTATATATCCTTGAGTAGTCCAGGCAAAAATAGCTAATTTAGAAAATAAAAGCCCCCAATTACCAGAAGAGGTTATTCAATTCAATTCGTTTTTTTATCGCCCTAATTTAATACAAAAAGTCCCGAAATCTCAACAGCAATTGCCTCATAAGAGTTTACAAAGTTGTTGATTCGCCAACAACACATCGTAGATTCAAATAGAAACAGGAAATGCCCATGAATATTAATATATGTTCATAAATGTCCTGAAATGGATCATCAGTCTTAGACCCTCCAGTAGCAGCAAGAAACCACTTTAAAACAGTAATTTTATAACACAAAAACTAATTGACATGAATTAAGGCTGCATGAGTGCAAACGCCATTTTTTTTTTTTAGAATACTCAATAACCTTATGCTTTGTAAACACACTCAACAGATTAAATTATTTTATCGGTTCGACATATTGTTTATTGCTTATTTGACCAAACCACTTCCAACTTCATTTCACTTTCCATAAAACATTTTAAGTGCTAACATTTCTCAACATTTCTCTTCCTATTTTTTGACTCATCAGGCCAACAATAGCCATCAGGGTTGTGGCAAAAAAAAGCATGTTGCCCTTACGTAGTCACACAAAACTCATTTTACAGCTCACGTTGCACTTTATACCCACGGCGAGAGCTCATTTATTCAGTGTTCTGCCGGATTTTGCCTGTCCCTAGGCTCGCGTCCCCGTGACTGCGGTGACCTGTACGCCAGCGGTCAGAGAGAGGACGGCATCTACTCTGTGTTCCCCCTTCACCATCCCACAGGCTTCCAGGTCTACTGTGACATGAGCACGGACGGAGGGGGCTGGACGGTGAGTCACACGGACACTTACACAAGGACACGTTTGACGCCGCGGTTACAGAGCGGATGTTCGGTGACATGTGCTGGATATAAGATTACAAAAACTGCTTCTCTTCTTATGGTTGCTTCGTGAGTGCTCTCCATGTGATTCCATTTGACTCAGATTCAGTTTATCTGCCATTTGCAGTAATAGCAGCCAATTTTCACAAAGTTACCATTAAGTGAGTGGCAAAAATGTATTTATTGGATTAACTGAAGTATAGCAAGATATCCAGTGTTTTTGTTTTTGTTTGTGGAAAGGTTGCTTATTGCTGTAGATTCAAGAATGTATTTGCCATTTGCAGTAAAACCTCATAGGAAAAACTGTGCAAGACCACCCCAGTGTGCTTCAGGATAGTACACACCAGAGCTCCTGCCCGTCATATTTTGCAAGTGGCTGTTGTTTTTAGTTTTTTCCCTAATGGAGGTATTTTGAGAAAATTATTATTTCAGTTAAACATTGGCTTTGATATTTGAGTTTAGTTGTTTATTTTCTGAACAATATGAGCCATGTTTTGCTAGCCATTTACTGGAACAAATGTTATTATGGCTGGGTGTTGTAGACAATTGAATGTTTGGTATGAATTACTAAGTTGCTTCGGATTTAATTGGACAGAGCCAAATAGATTATTTGACTGTTCTCTTCAGAAAATTGCTTTAAAAAATACTGTAGGTACAACAGGCCATTATAGCACATATATGCACACTGTCTTTTTTGCAAATTATATTGTTTTGGATTGAGGACCGTAGTGTACAATGTTATCAATGTTATTTATTACAATGCTGGACTTTTAGGTACACCCGTATAATTCAACCGCACCTTATACATTTTAAAATAAAGTATTTATTATTTGTTTTGGGGTAAGTCTTCATGAAGCAAATGGTCTATATCAGCACATATTAAGTTGCAAGCCTTCATTGGGTATTGACTCCCGTTCATTTAAATAGAGGCAAAATAGACCGTAGGCCACACTGATTAAGAATGTATCAATCAATCAATCAAGCTATAATAGAAATGGCCCACTAGCCGCAATTTGCGCAGGTCTGATATACTATGTTTTTAATTTGGGAGAAAATACAAACAGACGTTGTCCTCCTGCCTGTCGTCGACCGGTCTCACATGATTGAATTGCGCAGCCCTGAAATAGATGAATTTTTAATTGAAGAGCAAATTCATCTACTCTCCAATTTGTATATATTTGGAGGAGAGGACGATTTTGGAAGTAACACTCTAAAAATTAATTAGAAGCCGATTCATTGTTATTGTTTCTTTTATGACGTTATTGTTAGAATGAGAATTTGTGGTTTAATGCAGGCGGCATACAACAAATTGGTGCAATAGAGGGTATTTCAAAACACTAAACATAACCATGAAGCACAAAATTCATACAGGGTCAAGAGAAAATAAACCATATTTATTTAGTTGGATCGCTCATTAGCTGTGGTGGCTATGGTCTCCCTGGGTGCATTACACATAGGATTTTTTCCAATTACAAAAGTTCATACATTCATACAATATAAACAGTGATTTTAATACAGGCTCACTGAAACTGAATAAGTACTTTTAGATCATTCTTTAAGATTCATTCACCCATCGCACACACACAAGGACAGGGGAGTGTGTGTGTGCAGTCTTGTCTGGAGGCCCTGCCAAGCCTCCAGACAAGACTGCTTCTCCTACATGTTTTATTAGGAGAATTCACAGACAGAGACAGGGGTCAAAGATCCCCAGACAGTTTGTATACAGATTAATATTATAGATACTTTACTCATCCCACAGTGGGGAAATGTCAGTGTTGCATCACCAGTTACAGAACAGCAAACATCAAAAGATAAATGAACAATAACACAAAACTAAAATACAAAAAATATATATATACTGTATATATGCACATCTCTAACGCTAGCACGAAGAAGAAACAGGTATAAAATCTCTATCTTTAACATAAGGAGAAAGAAGAAAAAATCTCTGCCTTTAGCATATATATATAGCAAAAATAAGCTATGTAATAGCAGTACAACTTCTGATTGGTCAACAGGACACAGTAATCGATTGCCAGAAAATGCTTCCCAACAATTTTCAAGGAACATTGTCAGCACATTCTCAAGTCAATTCAATTCAATGTATTTTTGTGTAGCCCTAAATCACAACAGTCCGCTCTGCAAAGAGGACCGTGGGCTGTGAGCTTCCTGTTCTGGAGGTTCTTTATAAATCCAAACTTTTAAACAAAGCTCTTAGGATTGTCAATGACTCCTCTGGCCACCCTGGGAAAGCCATGTTCCAGCTTCTTCCCTCTGGCAGGGAAATGGCAAATAAACTGAATCTGAATCTGAGTAGTTTTCTCTGAGGACTTTACAAAATCGTTGGTTTGCCAACACTGATCAGAGAATCAAACAGTTAAAACTCAAGAAATGCAGTGATTATAGGAGCTATACCCGTTTCTGCGCTCTCATCCCACGGAGCCATCTAGTTTTATTTGTAATCTGATACATATGCTAACATTAGCATTAGTGAAACTTCTTGTAAGCTGTACAACAATCACTGATGAAATGGTACAAAAGCAACACACTGAACCTGAAAGATTACCACTAGTTTCACGTCCGAATGTGGTACGAGCATAGATAGTCCGAGGCGGTCCCGCAGGTCTCTCCCATAGACAAGTCTTTCCAGAGGATACGATGTAAGCTAGTTATGTTCACCCGGGCTTGATTTCTTCTTTGGTAGTTTTTGTGCTTTTTTCCCCCCTTCTCTTCCTCACTGTTGCGTCGTTTAGGCTGTGTTGCTGTGTATGCAGTTCTAGCCGGAGGAGCTATAGCCGCTATCAGCTCCATTCTGCTCTTGTTTAGCAGCGCTGTAGAGGCTAGAGGACGCCTGTTCTAACAGCGCTGCTCCTCGTTCTGTGATTGGAGGAGAATGAGCGTCACGCCAAGTCATACTCAGCACTTTTAACGGCCTGAATTCATACACAAACTGAGTCAATGAGCTCAAGTTTTCAGTGAAATTACGGATTTTAATACAACTTGTATGTAGTAATATGCATTTTGATGAACTCATAAAAAATAATAAATAAACTCATAATAAATCAGGTATAGCCTCTTTAAAGAAAACACATAGAGCCATTGGTCCATAAGGGCGGGTGACCAATGTCCATAAATGTTGATAAATGTGATTTTGGTAATGTCTTGACAGGAGGATTCAGGTTTAACGAAATCCAAAACTACCAAAACATCTATATTAGGAAAACGTCTCTAGTTTAAAATTCACATCCCAGTCATATTTCATATTTGACATTGATAGATTCGTCACTTGTCGTCGTCAAACTCTTCCTTTTGCCGCGGTGAAAAGCCGACCTGCTTATTTGTCACTCGTAAACGCTACATTGATATCTTTGAAAATAATCTCATTTATATATTTGAAAAAAAGAAAAAAGTGCTGAGTTGTTTAAAGCGTGTGTGTGTATTTTTTTTTTTTTCCTTGATCAAACATCACTTGTCTGGCCTTTGCAAAGTAAACAGCGTTGTTTAAGTGCAGCCGGCAAAACTGGAAGAGTCTGTGGGGAATGAGAGACAGCGAGGTGAACAAACACTGACACGCCGCTGTTTGAAGTTATATTTGGAAATGTTCTTGAGTATTTTACTGTGTGCACACGTCTCACTTGTCTCACTTGTTACAGCCGTTTAGGTTTCTTTGTCGAGCCGCTATGGTTGTGGTCCTCAGGGGAACCAAAAGCCTCTCCTAATACAGAGCTGTGGGGCCTGGGATTGTTCAACATGAAAGAGCGTCACATTTATACAGACATCCGTCAAAATCACCCGTTTTACAGGTTGTGGCAAGTTTTAGAGAAATATCAGGCGGCTGATTCGAAATTGTTTGGTTCTAAAGGAAAATCCGGCTGCTGGAACTTTAGGAGACAAATTGTTCCATTTCCCGTGGGCTGGTAAAGAATATGTTTTGCCGCAGAATTGAGCTTGTGGGTGATTCTGTCTTGTTGACGCCGCTCGACAGATATTTTAAATGTGTAAAAACTGTAGAGAGGTGTGAAAAAATGTGGGTATTTTCAGAAAGAATCAGCTTCAAACTTGTGAAACGTAAAAGCAGACTTTCCGGACGTTTATGGAAGTATAAAGGAGTAAGTACTTATGTAGCTTGCACTGTTGGGTACAGTTAACTCACTCAGTAATCCTGACCGACTGTAATGTCTGTTAGGGTGTATTCAGACTTGAAAAGTCCTTTGCTCCGCTTGCTTGATCCGAATCAAAAGCGGACCAAACTTTTTTCTTTTGCTCCGGTTCGTATTCAGACTGTCCTTTTTGCAAGTGAACTTTTTTATATAAACATATTGACACGTGTGACGATCGGCGCTCCTATTGGACAGCGAGAGCTCACGGAGGACAGACGCGGAACCGGCAGAAAACATTGAGATCGTATGTGCAGCATGTCTGCTCTGCCTATGTTTGCTCTTTTTAGAGCAAAACCACCTTCAACATCAACAGCAGCAGCTCATATGACACAGGCCAAACACGTTGTTTTAAATATTGGAACAGCGTCGGAGAATGCGTGAGGAGAAAGCCGAAGGAGACTCTGTGCGCTCCGTGTCCTGTTCCACACATGGATCTATGATAATAACGGCCCTGTTCAGCATTGTGGATGAACCATGGATCTATAATAACCACGGGACAAACAGACGCTGAGGATAAGGTAGGAACCAAAGAACACAATTCACTATTTGATGCAGAATATTGCTCTTTGAGATGTGAGTCAAACAGTGTCAGGCTTTTAATAATGCAAATGGTTTGAAGATGCTGCCATTAACATCACTGTATACTGTGAACAGTTGTAACTCCATAAGCCTGTTGCTCAGTGTCTCCACACTGCTCCAGTCTGCACACGGCTCAGTGTTGTTGTGTAGCGTTAGCAGCATAGTTAGCCGCTGCGTGGCTAATTCCTCAGTTTCTCTCTGCAGTGCTTGT